TTATCAACGTTGATAACAGTTTAAAATAAAGCTTCAGTAAGTTTCAGTGAAATTATAGAGTAGAAAGAAATGGGCAAAATTTTTGTTGATTGTTGAGCAGAGAGTTTTTATCAGCTGAGACAATGGAGAAAAATTTTATAAGGTCGTCAAAGGAAACAATGACATTGATTTCAAACCGCTTCAGAAATAACTTTTAGTCTCGGAACTTCATCAAAAAAACGTCAAACAATTTGACCAGATTTTAATCGTTTTTATTTTTTCTTTTTCTTTTCTGTTTTTTTTTTTGGTTTCTTTGTTTCTGTTTCCGCTTCAAAGAATATGCATAGAACTCACGTGTTCAGGAAGCATTTGTTAATGTTACACATCCGAGACTGATCTTACTGGTAATTCTTTGACCTAGTTTAATACAGCATCGAACTGTTGTTGCACATACCTTTTTTTTAAATGATATCTGTCTAAAAAAGGCAACGCCTAAAACAAATAAATCTTTCTGTTTTGCAGTAGTTACAGTTTTCTACCAAAAGTTTCACCACTTTTTCCTGTTCCATAAAATTGCGGGTATTTAATATGTTTCCATGTGCAGCCGTATCATCTTTGACTTCATTAGGTCAGTGTGTTGTTGTATATGGTTTTTTTTTTGTCAACCAAAAAAAAAGTGAAAAAAAAAAAAGATGAAAGAAAAAGAAAATTTAGTCAATTTTGTTCATTTTCAAAAGTCGTATAAAAACAAAAAAGGGGAAAAAAATAATCCGTTTGCCCTAGAAAATTTTGTTTTGCAGCTTAATTTAGCGGAGATCAAAAAATGATAATAACGATTTTTTCTATTACTATCATTTTTTTGTCATTTGTATCTTGATTTTGCCCTTTTGAATGACTGTTTGCGAACAACGTTTTGAAAAAAATCATCAAAATTAGGAAAATATTTCTGGTCGATTAAGACTGCAAAAAAAAAAAACAAAAAACAAAAAAAAGTTAGAAAGTTAGAAATGGAAAAACTGCAAAAATATTTGCATATTTTCAAAGCCGTGCGTGGCCAATTGAATCATAACTTTTGCTCGTAATAACGGTTTCTAGCATTGATGGGATACAAGAAAGGGCGAGAAAGTTTTGGTGAAAAAATAAGTTACAAAGGCAACTGAATGTTTTATGGTTTTAAGAAGTAAATCATTTGTTCAAAAATTCATATATTCTCCTACGAAAACAGTTGAAACATATAACGAAGAACTAAAACAGGTGTTTCCCAGTCTAAAACCTTTTAAAGGAGTTGTAACACTGAGATGCAGCAGTATGCAGAAGGCATAGAAGCAATGGAAGACAAAGAAAGTTAGAAAGGATTGGACACAGAGGGAGGCGGTTAGAAGGGGGAAGGATATTCGCTAAAAAAAAACCACTCGTTGAAAGGAAAGTAGCCGAAACTTCAAGTTGGTAGTACACTGTGCATATGCCACGTTCAGCTAAAGAACTTCGGGCATTTCAGTCGCTCCAATGGAGTCTGGTTATGAAGACGACACCGACAGCAGTATCAGCGGCAAGGGCGGCAGCGATCAAAACGCAGGGAAAGTTTAATAACCGCAACAACAACAACGGTAAAAAAAAGCTTCTGCAGAGCGTAAATCGTCAAAAAGACAAAAAAAATTGTGTTTTTTCTTTTACAAACAGAGAAAAACAACAGTAAAAGAATTAAAGATTAAGTGACTTAATTTTTTGACTACAGTCATATGGCTCAAAAGTTGTCTTTAGGCTTTTCTGAGTAGACAAAACAGCGTATCTGAAAGACGAAAAAAACTGACATGCTGCTCCACCGTATGGATCTAATAACGGATACCGGTTTGGCTCGTGATAGTCGTAATTGTTGTTTCTGTTTGCTTACTCATCGGCAAAAATTTTCAACGCCTGGATAAGCTTTTGAGAGGTGTTTTTGCCTCGAAAGAAGCAACAGTTGTTAACCATAAAAGAAAAGCTTTTGGCACTTTATCAGTTGAACGAATTAAGAGCAAGAAAAGCGAAGTTTTGACGAACAAATGAACTGTGTTAAAGAAGACTTCAATTTCAATCGTTCCTTATAATGTTTTAAACAGAAACAGTTGTAGCATCATCATCGTCGTCTTCATCAACATTGGCGACAATTGTGTTGCTATTCAGAAGCGAGTAGTTTAGTTGATGTAATGCTGCTAAACTGCAAAAGCTAAGTTTTCTTGTCATTTAGGCTAAAAAACTGTCGTAACAATGGAGAAAATGGCTGTATTGTTTGTTTTTTAAAGAAACCCCTCCTTTATTTTTTTTCTTACAAGTCAGTTGATGATTATGGTTAATCAGATACGTTCAGTGATCCGAAAAGAGACTATAAATTATTATTCAATTGTAGCTGTCAATAACGAATAGACTAAATTTTGCTTCTTGGAGTGCAAAGGACAGCCTGTAAGAATATCTCCACAAATGCTTTTTTTCTACTCAAAAGAGAAAAAAATAATTGAGCAGTTTTAGAGTCTTTCTTTGCTGAACGGAAAGAATGCATTAGAACCGTAAATGACGATTTGATAAACCGGAAAAAAATTATGTTCAATTCTTAAGAGTGTTTTATATGGCTACAAAATAAAATTGCTAATTTGATGAGAATTGTTTGTGGAAAACTGTTGTACAAATCTAATAAACGTAGATGTTGCTAACTTCTAACAAACAAAACGCACTATGTATCGACAACTTGTCCAATTTAGCTGCATAAAAGTATACGGTCGAGTTGGAGAAACAAAAAGGAAAAAATCAAAAAACGAAACCGAAAAACAAGCTGCTGAGAACTCTTGACAGCTCAAACATCTTTTCATCAACAAAGAAATCTTGACCGATTTCACAGTCAAAATAATCTTCTCCAAACAAATTTTTGCATATGATTCTTGTTTTAAAGTTTTTTTGAAAAAACGGGTTGCTGCCAACCCCTATATTGATGTTTCAAATGTAAATGATAAAAACTGCTCACTTTTCATTTTAAAACTATCCCTCCTTATAGATGCTCATTTATTTTTTGACAGTGTTATCAACGAATTTATATCACTGTTATTAATTCAAGAGAAACAATTTTTATTAATAAAAATTTAGCACGATATTGACTGATTAAAAAATGCATATGAGCTAAAAATTGAGAGTTTTACATGAATTTGGCCAGTGTTATAATAAGTAAATCTGGTAGCTTAGTAGACTTAGTAGCCGGAAACGCTTCTTCTTATAAAATCAAAAGGAATAATTGCTTCAAGGGTACTATGGTATATTTAAACGCTACCTATAGGATTAAACTAAAACAGTTCTAGTTTACACTTCCCAAAAGAAAAATTTCCTGCTATTTGACTTAGTTCGTTTTTAAGCCTCCACTGAAAGCTACTACTGTTGCTTCATGGCAATCTCCTTAAGAGAAGTGAAAATGAAGCATAATGGCAAAAGAATGTAAAATGAAATGGAAAGTGTTCGTACCAAAGAAACTTGGATAAAATGACCAAAAAGAAAAATGCACGTAAGGGATAAATAAAAAAAAGGGGAAAAATTGAGAACAAACGAAATGGAAACTGAATGGGAACCTTGACATATCGAGATCCGCGACTTTGCTCTAACAACTGGAATATCGCTGAGATGATATGGCTCGAAAAATAGACAAGATTCAGGTGATTTCCTCACCAACATACACCAACATTCACACAGACACACAGACGTGCACAGACATACATCCGGGTCATGCCCGCGGGGCAACTCTCGCAAAATTTCACTTTTGTTGTTGTTCCTCGCCATAAAAAACTAAGAAAATTAGTGAATGAAACAAAGAGCAAAACTAATAAAAATTGTGAAGAAAATTTTTTAAAACATTTCAAGAGTAAGTGTTATTCCAGAATTTATATATCATAAACATAAAGTCCGGAAAGACGATGTCAAATAAATGTAACCGATTTATACTAATTGGTTACGCTGAAAAGCGATACTGAAAAAAGCAAGTTTAATTGTTATTGCTGCTTGAACGCATCGGCAATAGGCTTAGTTTTGCTGCACACAGGCACTACCTGACTGCACCAATATCACTAAATGTACACTACAAAATCTTTTTTTTTTTTTTCACTAACAGTCGGCTCCGCATTGTCAAAATGATTTTTGGGAAGTCATTCTGGTCATCTTCAGCCAATTGTTTTTGTGGTTACGCATTCACATGAAATGAACTATTTTTGTGCATCAGAACAGCCAATCCCCCTTGGATGTCTACAGAGATGTGTTGTTATGTTCAAAGACTTTTGTCCAAGCCAAAGCGTTCGTTCATTCTACCATTAGAAGAAAACCTTCTGAAAAGCTCCGCCTTATAGCGACAAGGTGGAAAGATGAAACAGGTATCGAAATGACCCCCGATTTTTCCATCTACTCCACCCTTATTTCTATAAAAGGACCCCAGCCGTTCGTATTACGGCATTTATCAACCATTGAACACATAACTGTGATGTATCGGCAAAGTTTTGTCTTGTTTTTTTGCCTCCTTGGATTAGCTGCAGCTATTCCAGTCGATAACGGCGTTGAAGGTGAACCTGAAATTGAATGTGGTCCAACTTCAATAACAATTAATTTTAATACTCGTAATCCCTTCCAAGGTCATGTTTACGTGAAAGGCTTATTTGATCAAGATGGGTGTAGATCTGATGAGGGCGGTCGTCAAGTTGCTGGTATTGAATTACCATTTGATTCTTGTAATGTTGCTCGTACTCGTTCTTTAAATCCACGAGGTATTTTTGTGACCACCACTGTTGTTATTTCTTTCCATCCACTGTTCGTTACCAAAGTTGATCGTGCCTATCGCGTACAATGCTTCTACATGGAAGCTGATAAGACCGTTAGCACCCAGATTGATGTTTCCGACATCACAACTGCATTTGCTACCCAAGTTATTCCAATGCCTGTTTGCAGATACGAGGTGATCACTGATTTATAAACTTGAGCTGTTTTTTAAGTTAAACTACGTTTTTTTTTCACAATTTTTCTGGTCTTTTTCTTGCTAACTACGAGTAAAACAGATAAATGTTTGTATTTTTTATTTTTTCTCAGCTTTATAAACCTTTTTTGGCTGTCATTTTAGTGCTTTTTTTTTACTTTTTGTATTGGGCAACTTATGATCAACTGATTGTTTTCTTAAATGTTTCATAAACTATTTAGTACCACCGTTAAGTCACAGATTTTAGCTTTTTCTCTTTTTAAATTGATTTTAAAACCAAATTTTGTTTTTGTTCTTAATTTTTCAGGTTAAAAGTAAGAATGATAACGTTAGTGAGATATTAAACAATTACCTTCAATTATTAAATTTTACAAATTTTTTACTGTTTTTTTTTTGTTTAGATTCTTGAAGGAGGACCATCTGGACAACCAGTGCAGTTTGCTGATATCGGTGAGCAGGTATACCACAAATGGACATGTGATTCCGAAACTGTTGACACATTTTGTATGATTGTACATTCTTGCTTTGTTGACGATGGCAACGGAGACCGTATCGATATCCTCAACAGCGACGGTTGCGCTCTCGACAAATACCTATTGAACAATCTAGAGTATCCAACAGATTTGATGGCAGGCCAGGAAGCTCACGTCTACAAATACGCTGATAGGTCACAGTTGTTCTATCAATGCCAAATTACGATTACTATCAAAGAGCCGAATAGCGAATGCCCCAGACCTCAGTGTATCGAACCACAAGGTTTTGGTGCCACACGATCGGCTGCTGCAGCTCCAGCTGCCAATTCAGCACAGCTTCGTCTTCTCAAAAAGCGTCAGGCTGACTACGATAACACATTAGACGTTAGAACTGGATTCAGCGCTTTGGATATCAGCGACCAGGTAAGCATTGTTTAATATTTTTACAAAAGTTTTACCAAAAAAAAAACGGAATTTTAAAAGTCAAAAAAATGTGTAAGTATAATGACTCAGATATTAAAAAAAGCTATTTCCAGAGTCGCAGCATTCCATCAGCACTTCGTCATAAATCATATCCAGGACAGTACGGAAGTCCTGTAGTTCTTTCGCAAACTCAGGGTGTTTGCTTTTCAGCTACAGGTTTTACGATCGTGTTTGCGCTATCAGTGACATTCTTAGTAGCTATAGTTATTGTAACAGTTTACTTACTGCGCCCACAAACTAAGGCATAAAATTAATATTCAGCTAGTTTATTTTTGCTTTTTATTATTTTTCTAGTCGTTATGAACAAACCGACGTGCATGTCTTATCATTGTTTGAATGAAGTTTATGATGCTATAAACTTCATCAAATTTACACATTTGTAAGAAATTTGTAGATTTTTCTTTAATTTAATGAAAATGTAAAATTGACTAAAAAAAAAAAGAAAACGTTGGAAACATTTATTAATGGACTTCTTGGCGTACTGCAGTTATGGCTTCGCTAATAATTGGTTTGCGAACTGTAAACAGCATCGCTATGAATTTTTTGTTTTGTTTTTTTTTTCTCCTTCTCTTATTTTTAATTTTAGTGTCTCTAAAATCATAGAAAAAAAAAAGCAAGAAAAAAATAAGTTAAGAATTTTTTAACTCAAATTTATGCCAGAAAACAGTTTTGACTTTATATTCTGCTTGTTTTGTTTTGTTTTGTTTTCTTCTTTCTTCTTTATTTTCTTCTTTTGTCTTACAGTTATACAGTTAACAATTTTTAGTGTTTGCTCGTATCGTTTACCAACATCATTGTCACAGTATCAAAATAAGTTTACACAGCTGTTTTGTTGTATTTTAGGGTATTAATCAAATAGATGTTTTTTCTTATCAATAATTTTTTTGCATTTTTCCTCCTCGTTTTAACTCTATTTTCTGCATCATCATAATTGAGAAAAATATGAAGTCCTATTTTAAGTGATCAATCAGGTTTATAAGATAACAAACAAACAAATAAACAAACAAAAAAACAACAAAAAAACAAAAAAAAAAAAAAGAAAAAAAGAAAAATTAGAAAAAATT